AAAAATTTTTATGTTAAATATTTAACACGTTTATGTGTAAATTTAACATTTATTCTGTTAAATTAACATAATAAAGTGTTAAATATTTAACATAAAAATTTTTTGATGCAAAATTTTTTTCTGAGGCGAAACTAAATAAAAAAGTAAATTTTGATAATAAATTATGATAAAATTTTTTTTTATTTAATTACAAATTTATTTTTAAATAAATAATAATTTTATTTAATTCTAAAAATTCAAATTTAATTAAAAACATTTTTAGAATTATTTTATTGTTATACAGGAAATAAAATATATAAAATAGATATTTAATAAGAATAAAATTACATATTTAGTAAATAATTCCAACGGTTTTGATTTCGCAAACAATAACCAGGAAATATTGTCTATTATTATTTATATAAATAAAATTTAATCGTGGGAATTTGCAACGCGAAAAATATTTAAGCATAGATACAAAAAAAATACAACTTGTGTTTTTCATTCCATATTGCAAGTGTTTTTGATACCGCCATATGTCAGCGCGGTGTAACAGCATTAAATCCATATTATTTGCGTATTTCTTCGCAGGGGTGCGACTGTTACTGTTTTCCATAGAAATGCCGCAGAAGCAAAAATTATTGAGTAAAAGGTTAAAAAAAAAAAAACATAAGTAGGCCGGATGTCAAAATTATATACTTGATAAATAGAAAGTATTTTTCAAAAATTTACATGCACTTATTTTATTTAAAGGACTATATTTAATTGACAAAAAAAACTAAATGAAATAAAGTTTATTATCATTTTATCAATTGATTAATTACATATGAATCTATGTTAGAATTTAACCATTAATAAATTAAAGGATTAGACAATGCGTATCATGCTTATAGATAAATCTTTAACAGGTATGATAATTCTAGGTTCTCCGTCAATTTGTGTCATCATTGGATCGAACCCTTGTTCTAATGAAATACTTTTCAGTGGAAATTCGACCTTACCAAGACGCTCTAAGTTAATATACATTAAATTCTGCAGGTTTTCTAATTTGTATGCGTAAAAATGCCCTGGAACAATAAACCAACAATTAAAAAAATTAATTCATGACCGTGACTACTGAACAGAACTAAGTTAGGGAAAATCTTAATTCATTTATAGATTAAAAAAAAATTAACTTGAATCAAGATGGAAATTCTTGAACCAAGAAAAATATTTTGAAGAGTTTTATTGCCTTAAATTAAGACGAAAATTTATTGAATTAAGAAAAAATTCTTAATTTAAGAATTTTTCTACACAGAAAAAAAAACTTGTTGCACCAACAAAATTATAAGGAGGACAAAATTTTAATAAGTTTTTAATATTTAAATATATAAACATAATTATGAGCTGTGGTAGAATTTGATATTTTACAATAAACGTTATTATAATGTAATATAATTAATGCAAATAATTTATAAGGATGATTTTTGTTTATAAGCAATATTCATATCATATGACATAGCAAGCGAAACAAATTCACTCAACAAAATATTTATTAACTGTTAATAAATATTTGTTAACTATCAATGAATACTTATTAACGATATTATATTAATGAATGTACCTTCTTCCCAAATAAATATTTATTAAATGTTAAAACATATTTATTAACATTTAATAAATTAAATAATTATCTTCAAATAAATTAAATTACTAATAGTTAATAAATCCTTCTATCAGTACTCAAGAAACTTTGACTTCATTCAAGAAATTTTTAATCTTTCTTAATATTTTCTTGAGCCATAAAAATTTATTATCGAGTTAATTTTTTTTCAGTATACGAATATAAATCCGAATGTTGATGATTGAAATAAATTACCTTTACGAGTAACGATGAATAAGAAATTCAAAAAAATATTTACGTAATAAATTGATTCGTTGGCAATATTACGTGGTATTTTGAATCGTTTCAAAGCTTTAACAAGCTTTTTGCTAGAATGTGAGTGCTTCACTCATATAGGACGGAGCGTATTTGGATCTGCAATAAATATTTTCTTTATAATCAACTACAATTATTCCTCCTCTTTATAATAATCCTTTAAAAATAAATACACTCTTCTTCTCTGGAAAGAAGTAGTATTTTAGAATCGGAACAAAAAATTTCGAATCGATTTACATCGAATTTTCGCACAAGTGTCATTGAGTAACGTTTATCACGACTGTCGATATTTATTGGTTTTGTAATCAATAGTGGTAATCTGACAATAGTTGCTCGGCAAAATCTTTTTCTGAGATTCGTTTCATCTACCCTCGTAGAAATTGCATTAAACACAACCATTATCTTAAAAAAAAATTTATTTTATTAAATTTGATTTTTTTATTAATTTTCTATTTTAAGGATTGAAAATATACCTTCCGTTTTTCATGATAAATTTTTTCATATTCGTAATGAAAGGCAATTGGTTGAGTTATGCGCAAAATTTCTTTGGCTATTATTTCATCTTGATTATTAAATTCTAGTTGGAAAAAAGTCAACAAGTCGACGTCTTCTTCAAAAACGACAATAATAACCTCGTTTTCAAATTTTCGGCTAGGATAATTTAATAAATAAATGATTAGTTATTTTTATCATATACGAGTAGAAAGGTTAATTAGATTCAGAAGAAAAAAAATTTTATTAATAAGAAAAACAATAAAGTTCTTCAGATAAGATAAAATTGTTGGTTTAAAAAAAAATTTCTTGACTCAAGAATTTTTTCTCTTGTCCGATGAAATTTATTATTTTCCTTATTAAAAGATTTTTTTTTAAGGTAGTCGCTTAAGGCAGGAATAAAATTTTTTTATAGCGAAAACCACTACCTCACTATTTGGTTATCTCGATTTAAATTAGTAAAAACTGGAGGTGTCACATATTGTCTGCCATCCTCGGCGTTAAAAATCAAAATTTGATGGATCCACTTTATCAAGAGAATTATTTTTTGATCTTCTAAAAAATAACTTGTTCTTTAAAGTTGATAAAAATATTTTTATACTTACCATCGATGTAATAAAACAAAAAATAATCATACCAGTCAGCCAAATTTGGATACGATTAAGTTCAAGCTGATCATTAGAAACTTCCAAAAAAATTGGTCTCATTAATTGCTCACCAGTTTTTATGTTAAGCAAATTAACTTCTCTGGTATGGCTAATAATGTAGGCGAGGTATTCACCTGAGATAATGACATAGGTTATCACTAATCAAGAATAATATGATTGAGAAGTTTTAAAAAAGCTTAGCGAACCTAACAAATCAAAACGGTTATAGACTGAAAAAATGTTGTCGAAGTCGTTGATGTAAGGAAGATAAAAATATGAACGTATCATATGATTGGCATCTTTGAATGGAATAATCCATCGTACGTAGAGCAGAAATAATTCTCTCCAGTCTTTTTTTGATAAATTTTTATACTCTTCACTTTTCTTTAGTGGGAATCTTAGTTTAAATAGTTGGTGTAAAATTGGTTTTAATTTTTTACTCAAACATAATCTTTTCCAAACATCTGAATCGTTGATTATTAAACTCCAAGATTTATGCACTTCTCGCAATTTAAAAAGTTTTATTGGATTATTGATGGAATTAAAAATTAATTCTAATAAATGAGTATCGATGTAAATTTCGTCCACTTGTTACAAATACATCAACCGGTCGGTCACAAAAAAATATAATTGAACACTGTGAAATTTTTTAAACACTAGCAAGGCACTAAATATTGTTTTGATTGGACAAATATAATAAATTGGAATGTATGATTTATTTTAGATCAGACCAATATCACGCTTGACAATTTAATACTTAAAAAGTGTACCGAGACATTTCTGATTGTTATATTTATTATGTAAAGAAAGAATAATAACAATCGAGAAAGTATTGGTCAATTTCGAAAATGTTCTCGAGTAAAAAATTTAATTGTGACAATTTTTAGTTTGTTTTATTGAGCATTAAATGTATTGTGGTTGTAAAATGTGATAAATTCTTTTGATAAGAAATTTTAAGTTGGAATATTACCAGCGCATAAGTCGAAAAGTTTCAACTTTAGAAAATTCTAAATATATTATTACGATTATAACTTATAAGTTATGCGGCACCTTACATAGGCGTGTAAATATATAATGATAAGCTCATAAAACATAAAATTCTTTAAATTTGTGTGTCGAAGCCATAATTATGTTCATCAAGATCCAAGATAATCTATCGCATACTGCTGTTCCACCATATTCGCGTCACCTTGAGTAACAAAACTTCGACAACTGAGCTCATTACCGCCTAATGTGTGATCGTAAACTGTGAAATTTAGGTTTTGGTTGTAAAAAAAGATTTTATAAATATAGACCGCGGTTTTTTCTTCAATAATTTTTGTCTAACTAGCGGCTGTAATGATCAAAATCTCGGTATGCAGAATCGCTGCATAAAACAAAATTACTTGAATCAAGTAAATAATTGTGAAGAATTTCAAGTTTTTGATTTGAGTATGAAAATTTTTAAACTATGAAATTTTTCAATTTTTAAGTAAATTTTACTTGATTTAAGAATTTTTCGTCTCGATCTAAGACAATGAAACTCTTCAAAATTATTTTTTTCTTGATTGAAGTTAATTTTCGTTTTTTTCAGTGTGATTCTATTGTCGGAAACTCAGTAAAAAGGGTGACCGTCTCTTTTTTCTCATGCAAAAAATTCTTAGTTTTATGAGAAATTTTTACGTGAGTAATTTTTGCGGATTAATAAAGGCGGGAAGACCTTTTATAGAGCTGGAAAAGCACTGGATATTTGGATTAATTAATTAAATTGATAGATATTGTTTAGGAGATGGTGATAAGTGATGAAACTCGACATTCAACATTAACATTAGCAATCTTAGGAACTGGTGAAGTATGGCAACCCCAATATTTCAGCGGCGACCCTGCTAACGTGTCAACCAACAGAAACAGCAACACACCTCTTCCCCTCTGGTGTGTGACACTTGAATGACAGGTATATAGGGACGTTATGACACGCCGTAGCCAAAGTGTCGGTGCAATCGTAAAAATTGCTAGCCAGACAATTACTTATTATCGTCTCTACACTACTCAGGAACCACTTTCATTTCGACTGGATTTTTTATTTTTTTAATTCATCAAAAAATAATTAATTTTTGTTAAAAAAATTTCAAGTCATTAGAAAATATTTAATTTTAATTAAAAAAAATTTTAATTCATTAAAAAATATTTAATTTTAATTAAAAAATTTTTTTTTTTAAATACAAATGTTATTTTTATTTAGATTTTTATATGGATGTTTTATAGAAGGTCTATTGACTTGGATCAAAGGTATAATTTGTAATAGATAACTTATAAATGTATGTAACCATCGAGGTTGGTCAGGTCTCACGATTCTCATTCTGATTCCCGATGAATGGAGGATCGAAAAATGTTTATTGTTTTGGCGATCGGACTTCAGAGTGTAGATAACAGAGTGTAAAAGAGAGCAAAGTGGTCTGGGATATTATATGTGGGATTTAATACAAGGGCGTGACAGAATGTCGAGCAGGAGACAGGACATGGAGGAAAGGAAGAGAGGAAGGAAGTGTCGTGGTCGGCTCTTCCGGGCAGCTGTTCCTGTTAAGGTACTTTTTACACGTACATAATCCACCTATGTCTTTATGAATATAACATATATGTATGCTACTTCGGCTCGGGTAAAGCTATCCACCATCAGCCTCAGCCACGAGACAACCCTAAACCCTACAAGTGCCATTGCGCCCGACACTGAACCGAACCGGTGTACTGGCTTCATTTAATACCGAACTTCAATTGCCCACCGCGGTACCTTTTTTTTATTTTTAAAATTATCATTTGTGTTTTTAGTTATCATTATTATTATTACTAGCAACTGCACTGTAATTTTTTAACCATTGACATTTTTTAAGATATAAGCTCATCCCGATGTTACACTCATCAAGAGCTTTCATTTAAGTACCCACATGCATTT